ACACACACAGCACACGCACACACTCTCACATACGCATTTGTCATGGCAAACAATCGTAGTTTGTTTACTGTTCTCCTTTTACAGGTGTTTGTGATCAAAACAAGTCACATGTACATCACATTTGCAAGGGTGCTCTGCAAGTCCAACACAAACGGAAACGCTTTCTCTATCTACATCCTGTGTTTCTCTGTAATGTAATTCAACGGTGTTTTGGTTAGTTCCTGTTGCCACTTGAGATGAGAAAAGTGCATCTGTTTCCTGTTTTCCTTTAACATTAAGCGTTCATTTCTTTTTAAACATTATTACTTATTATTTTTCTTTGTAAATGTTTTACGGCGCTCGCAACTGCATAAGGTCATATGAGCGCGCGGGACACATTAAACATTTTCAGTTGGTAGGAAATTTTGAATTTTGCCAGGGTGGCTGCCGTAGCCTACTCTTGGAGATTTTAGACCACCAAAGGATCTATAACGTGCGCAACTTGCACGCGGAACCTCCGAGATTATTCGTCCTTGTCCAAGAAGGCTAGGTGTAGATACCCCCTAACCTCCTTTGCCCCCTCCTCTAGGCTCCTGGCTCTTTCTACAGCCTTTCTACTGCTACTCCTTGGCTTCTTACTGCTGTCTTTCAGTCACACCCCTGATCTTCTGGTAGGAAAGATCTACACCTAGCCTTCTCGGACAAGAGTGAAAAATTTCGGAGTCCCCATGTGCAAATCGCGCACGTTAAAGATCCCTTGGTGGTCTAAAATCGTTAAGAGTAGGCTTCGGCCGCTACCCCGGGCAAAATTCAAAATTTCGTACAAACTGAAAAAGTTTAATGATCCCGCGCGCTCATATGACCTTAAATATGCAGGTGCGAGCGCTGTGAAACACTTACCAAAAGAAAGAAAGGGGGAAAAAATCAATGTGGACAAATGCAGTGGTGAATCGGTGAAGTTACCCTTCACAGTCACCCAGTTGGTCACACACTGTAGTACATTCCAACAAACTTCTCTTCCACCATTTCCTCACTGATTATGCTGGGGCTCGTGGCCTCTCGATTACGGGAGATAAGAGAAGCCGAACGCAAGACCGGAGTTTGTTGAGTTGAGTCTTCTTTCATCGGAGAGATATCTTAGCAGATGCCCCTCGGAATTTTAGGAAGGGTATCTGTACCCCCAAAGACAAGAGGTCTCCCTACTCTGGTAGAAAGGGGGGGGCGGGGGGGCTGACCCCCCTGCTTAAGTCACGAAAAGAATAGACAGATCTTGAATCTAGATAGGCCGCGACAGTTTTTAGTGCCAAAAAAAGTATTGGCAACCTTGGTGGTCTGCTACTTCAATTTTACCCTTTTTGAGTCATTGATGGTTTTTATCATGAACTTTATTACAAATGGCCCAATTACAAACTTTCAAAGAGCCCAGTTACGCTTACTCCCTCGTCTTTTGGTTTGATATTTTCTTGAAAACAATTGATTTGCAATGGTTTTAATACTCTATGTGTGTTTTGCAGCAAAAAAAAAAATATGGCTGTTTCACCCCATCAGCAGTCTGCATGCGAGTGTGAAAGTAAAATTTTACCCTCTTATTTTTCTAGGTATTAGTTCTATATTAGACTTTCTCCCACCCCTTCATATTTGCCTGAAAGAAGTGAATGTTTCGTAAGCTAATAATAATACTTTAGTAAGGCTATAATGAAACTCAAACTTCTTAATCACCCAACACTATCACTAAGGCAGGCTAAAAGACAGTTCTAAATTTCAGTCATGCGATCTATTTAGAAACTCTAGTCTATCTTTGATTTAGGCCCAGGGGATAGAAATGATGGTAGGAAGCATGGGCTAGATGTGGTAGATATATATAATATATATATATATATATATATATATATACAAATATATAATATATAATATTTTCCGCCCCTTTTCTCCCAAGAGTCTCATGTCAACATTTTATATTCTATTTATTCAGTTTTAATCTAGCTCTCTCCGCTTGTCTTCATGTGTCTAACAATCAGTTTTGAAATGATTTTCCAGTGGCAATGTTAACAGAAATTTTGTCATTTACCATTTACAGATGGACCAAAATATTTGGCTGATCAAAGCGACAGCGACAGTGACAATGAAACTGAGACATCTGCTGTTTCTGATGTTTCTACTGCTGGTGCGTCACATTCTACTGTTGATGTCTCTGGATCAAGTCAGGGTGAAGTCAAGACTCTCCTGGGCGATTTCAACGTTCAGAAAATTAACCAGCAGCCACAGACTGATTACAGCTCTATCACGCCGGCCAACAGGTATGCTTTATTATCTCTCTCACACACACACACACACACACACACACACACACACACACACACACACACACACACAGACACACACGCTTTGAACTACCCCTTTTTAAACAGAATTAACAGAGAAAAATCACCAAGTCTGTGCTTGCTTTGTGACCAAGTATATATGAAACAATTCAATATCTCTTATCCTATCTATTGTCCCAATAAATTACAGGATCACCGATAGTAACTTTTACCTCCTGTCCCTACCACAGACAATACCCTATTATATTCAGGGATCACAGTTTTCAGCGGGTCTGCAATTTTCTGCAGTTGCGAGAACTTTCCAAAATCCACTCCGTGGTCTTAACCGCGCCAGTGGTCGATCGCCCCGGCCTGAAGTCCGCCGCGGTAGGCCTTGAGTAGCCTGAGATCGGCGCTAAGGGTTAGGATTAAGATTAGGGTTGGGAAAGTAAGTGAAATGTGTCTATATTTTGGTTTATTTTGCATTTTTTAAACTGATGTGAAGGGGGGTGCACAAAATTTACGGAAAGTTTTCGGATCGATTCTCAAAGTTCCAGAGTTGGCGGAAAATTTCTTTGTGATCCCTGATACAATTACCTACACTACACCGCAGCAAAGTAGAAATGTGGAAGACATTCACCTTTTAAAAAAAATATGACAGTAGGATGAAGGGCATAGGCTTTAAGGTAATATTTGATAAACAAGAAAAAGATTCATATCAGACTATCCTATAGCCTACTAGAAAGAGAGAGTGATTTTGTTGAATTTTATAAGTGAATATTTCTGAAAATTTATTCTTTGACTACAAAAGCAATTTTAAAAAATCAGTAGTACATTAATTTGTGAAGATCGTAATGTAAAGGAATTTTAACCAGGTCTCATGAATTAGTCATGAAATATGAAATATATGTTGTCATTTGCGTTGGTTTAAAAAAAAAAAAACTGTGTGAAAAGAAAAGGCGTTCTTTATTTTTAATGTATATGTAAATTTGTGACAATTGTGCTCAAATGTAAGCAGACTTTTTATGTTTTCTCTATTTTTTGTTGGCTCTTTGTTGTTTCTTTTTATTACAGGAATGTGATTGTGAAATGTCTCGAGTAATGTTCAAAATACTACAATAAATATTTAAGCAGCTTTCTAAGTTCTGTGTACCATATATATAATTTTGGTTTCAGTTTTCGACTTCACTTTTTCAAAGAATCGGACGAAGTAGTCAACAGGAGGAAGAAAGATGCCAGAAGACCTGTGAAGCAGGTGGATGAGGTGAGATGATGTCAATGTTTTATCTTTGATTGTATTTTTGTTTGTCCTACATTTTACTCTGAAGATAAGCTAAAGCAGCTATAAATGGCTGCTTACACTGTATGCTTCCGAGGAAGTTGAGGTTGTTTCAGAATGCTCTCAGGTCTGCTTGGGTAATAGTATATATTGTGAAGCGCATAGAGCTTGCTGTTGAGCGGGGATTTGCGCTATACAAATGCTATCTATAATTATTATTTTAAAAGTGAATGTTGACTATGGACACCTCATTTCTCCCTTTCTTTTTTTCTACTTTATGATAACATTGCCCACCTGTCTAAGACAACCACTTTGCTCTTCAAAGAACATTTTTTATGCCGCACCTTTCCTTGCTTTTCTTTAGATATTCCTTTTTTATGTTGAAAAAAAAAGAGTTGGAAATGGGTTCATCAAATTGGTAAAAAGTAACAATAAATTTTATAAGAGTCCAGGTACTCTCCTTGTAACCGTTGCCCAACTTCCTCGAATTTGCTGCTCACTCACAGGCTGCATCCGTGTGAAGTTGCACTCGTAAAAGATCCCTTGGTGGTCTAAAATCGATTAGAGTATACTTCAGCCGCCACCCGGACATAATTCAAAATATTTTACCAACTGAAAATGTTTAATGTGTCCCGCGCGCTCATATGACCTTATGCAGTTGCGAGCGCCGTAAAACACTTATCCCCCCCCCCCCAAAAACCCAGGGTGCATGATGTGCGTTGTTTTCCTTGAATGCTGAGTGGGTGGTTGGCGGGTGCTCTGATGTGGTTTGCTCCTTCTTTCCTACAAACTTCTATTGTCATGATCTCTCCTCCTTCTTTTTTATGTGTGTTTCCCTCTTGTAGCACCTCTAATCTTCGGCACTTATATGACCTTATTGTGTTACAAGTGCCGTAAAACTCTTACTAAAACAATAGAACATTGAGTGCTGAACTTTGCGTTATACCATTATTTTCGCTTTATATGGACAGAAGTACCTGGAGTACAAGATGGAAGACGTTTATCCTGCCAACACTTGCCTTGACTTTCCAAAACGACCACCCTGGAGTTATCGTCTCAGCAAGGAGAAGCTGGAGGAACAAGAGCAACTGTATTTTAATGTGAGTACTGGCACTTTGTGCTGCTGTGTTTTATGGTTGTACAGAGAAATTCACCCCCCGGGGCAGTGCCACTGACTGTAGTGTCTAAGTCTTTAGGCCATTCCCAAAGGGGGGGGACATTTCTCATTCAAGCGCAGTAGAATTGTAAATGGGCTGATTCATCATGTCACGCTCATAACTGCCTGATCTGCAACAGGGAACTGCTGCTTTTTCTTTCCTAATCCTTACTATTGTCATTTTCCTCAACTTCATTTTGTATGTTTGTCACTCTCTTGTGACCTGCTCTTTTGGGGTGCCTTGATAGTCAAAGCAGACCTTGTGCTGTTGAAGCTAGAGAGGTGAGCAGAGTAAGTCTGATTCCCTGTAAAGACTTCTCTGTTGACACCCGCCCCTTGGCGTTCATATGACCTTATGCAGTTGCGAGCGCTGTAAAATCCTCTACTAAAAAATAAAAAAAAGACAAACCAAGCAAGTAAAGGCCTTGAACTTAAACTTTTTCAAAGAATAGAATGTAAACAGGAAGAAGAACTCATTTGTGAAGGAGTTGAAATGTTTGGTAATATAAAGGCATTGGATAAATGATGTCTTCGGCCGTTGACACTTGTACAAAGGTTAATTGTGATGTATTATTTCGGTGATTGTGTCGACAGAATTACCTTCAGGAAGTCATGGGTCATCCCCGGACCCAAGACTTGACACTTGTAAGGTTAATTAGGTTGTATCATTTCTTCGATGATTGTGTCTACAGAACTACCTTCAGGAGGTCATGAGTCGGCCCCGAGCCCAAGACCTGACACTTGTAAGGTTAATTGTGCTGTATTATTTCGGTGATTGTGTCAACAGAATTACCTTCAGGAGGTCATGGGTCAGCCCCGCGCCCAAGATCTGAGCTATTTTGAGCTGAACCTGCAGACGTGGAGACAGCTGTGGCGGGTGCTGGAGATCTCCGACCTACTTCTGGTCATCGCCGACATACGCTACCCGGTAAGTGAGAAGTGAGATTTATAGATTACCTTTGGTATGTATATTATTGTCTTACTTGTCTTACTTGTCCACTGTGTTGGGGTCACTGCAGTCGGAACATGTCCAAATGTAAACTTCTTCCTTACTTGTCTTACTTGTCCACTGTGTTGGAGTCACTGCAGTCGGAACATGTCCAAATGTAAACTTTTTCCTTACTTGTCTTACTTGTCTTACTTGTCCACTGTGTTGGGGTCACTGCAGTCGGAACATGTCCAAATGTAAACTTCTTCCTTACTTGTCTTACTTGTCCACTGTGTTGGAGTCACTGCAGTCGGAACATGTCCAAATGTAAACTTTTTCCTTACTTGTCTTACTTGTCTTACTTGTCCACTGTGTTGGGGTCACTGCAGTC